ATTTTTTTATAAATCTTGCAAGCTTTAATTTTTGGAATTGGGCCCGGATTCAGCACGGGCTAAAGTAACTAGTAATACACATATATACAAAAAAATATATTTTGTCTACTATTATTTTTTAGAGCGACTAAAATTCTTTATATATATATATATATATATATATATATATATTACGTGGTCTAAAGTGTTTGTGCATTGTATTTTATATTTTATGGGCCGAATGATTTTTTTATTTCTTTTTCATAAAAAACTCAACTGTTAACTCGAAACTGTGACAAAGCTGATTACTTCGCTAGTTCGCTTGACTCGGTGTAGCGGCTATTTTGTAAAGTGACTAGCCTGTGACATTACTATCATGACTTATGACTTCAAATTTTTAGATAAACATGAAATCTGCATTATTCAGTTTCAGCCTTTTTATATGTATTGCTAATAATCATTAATACAACAACAATAATAACAATAGCCCAGTAAAATTTCACTAGTGGATCTGGGAAGGTAGAGTGTACGCAAACCTTACCCCTGCCCGGAAGGGTAGAGAGGTTGTTTCCGCCTTTCTGGGAGACCCTCGGCTCAACAGAAGAGATAATAATATCAAAAAAGAACAAAAGAGTAGATCTGTATGTCACGACCCGGAATTTCCACCGCCGGAACCGTGATGGCGCCTAACATTTCACTTGCTAGGCAAGCCAACGTTAGAGAATCATTAAACCAACTCTTATTCCATTCAGTAAATACAGCAAATTAACTAAGGTGAAATATAATAAGTGCGGAATAATATAAAAATTATATTAATTACTACCACCCGAATCTGGAGTCACAATTCACGAGCATTCTAGAATTTACTACAAGTAATAGTTTGAAAGAAATACAATTGTGTGAATGAAAGAAACAGTAGAACAGAAAAGATAGACGGAGACTTCAAGGTTTGTGAACGCCGAAAGATCTACCTTGAGTCTCCGAATAGCGGTCCAATAGCAAACTCTCGATCAACCCGATCCAGTACAAAAATCTGCACAGAAAGCACAGAGTGTAGTATCAGTACAACCGACCCCATGTACTGGTAAGTGTCGAGCCTAACCTCGACGAATTAGTGACGAGGCTAAGGCAAGACACCTACAAATCAACATGTACAGTTTAACAATGTATATACAAATAACAGTAATAAAGAAATAGACAGGAGATATCGGGAGGGAGAAACATGCTGGAAAAAATACGAGATAAAGAACTACAACAGAATGATATCAGGAACAACCAATATATTATGAATCAACAGGAACACGAATACAGTAAAAGAAAAATGCATGGCATCACCCTTCGTGCTTTTACTCTCAATCTCACCATAAATTAATAGAAACGGCACGACATCACCTTTCGTGCATTAACTCTCATAATATGGCACGACATCACCCTTCGTGCATTAACACTCATAATATGGCACGACATCACCCTTCGTGCATTAACACTCACAATATGGCACGACATCACCCTTCGTGCATTAACACTCACAATATGGCACGACATCACCCTTCGTGCATTAACACTCATAATATAGCACGGTATCATCCTTCGTGCATTAACACTCATAATATGGCACAGCATCACCCTTCATGCATTAACACTCACAATATGACACGACATCACCCTTCGTGCATTAACACTCTCCCTTACCATAATGCAATGCATAAATAACAACAGTGAGATAGAATAACAAGTACAAGCCTTACTTCAACATTTAGTTCCACAATATCAATCTCAACTTTGAAATAAATTCTCAATTATCATCAGAAAATCCGTAAAGATGATAAGAACGATCAATTTAGCAACACTAGTATAAACACGTAGCAATTAGGCATAGGAAAGAGACAATATAAGAAAAACGGAACATGAAAAATAGGTAAATTAGCGGCGCATCAGTACTCGTCACCTCACATATACGCCGCTCACATAAATTTCACATAGCAAATAGTCTAAGGTTCCTAATTCCCTCAAGTCAGGGTTAGACACAACACTTACCTCGCTCCGAAGGCCACTTAATTCTCAATCACAACTTTTCCTCTAGAATTCACCTCCAAATCACTTGTATCTATTCAAAAATGACTACATAGTATCAAATATTGCTAAAGGAATCAATTATATTGCATAAATTAAATTTCTCAAATTTTTCTCCAAAAAGTTAAAAATCGACCCCGGGCCCGCTTAGTCAAAACCCAAGGTTCGAACCAAAATTCATTTACCCCTTTCACCCCCGAGCCCGGATATATAATTGGTTTTGGAATTCGACCTCAAATTGAGGTCTAAATCCCCAATTTTTCGAAATTCCTAGTTTCTACCCTAACCCCTAATTCTACCATAAAAACTCTAGATTTTAGGTTAATAATTCATAAAATATAATGGATAATTGAAAGAAAATAGTTTAGAATCACTTACCAACACTTTGGGGAAGAAAATAACTCTTGAAAATCGCCTCTAGTCCGTTTGGTTTTTGAGAAAATGAAATAAATGGTCAGTTCCCGCTTTTGGATTCTGTTTTAAGTGTTGGGCGACAGTGTGCATCGCGTTCGCGAGGCCACTGTCGCGCTCGCGAAGAGCATTGGCTGCCAAGCCTTCGCGTTCGCGAGACAGTGTTCGCGTTCGCGTAGGCTACCCCCTGGTCTCCGCGTTCGCGAGACATTGCTCGCGTTCGCAATGAAGGAAAGGCTGACCCCCCCTCCCCGTGTCTAACACTACGCGTTCGCGATGAGCTTGTCGCGTTCGCGAAGGGTAATGTCCCCATCGCTTCGTGTTCGCGACCAAGCCTTCGCGTTCGCAAAGAAGAAAATTTTGGCTTCATCAGTTTACTCTTCGCGTTCGTGAGAGGACCTTTCGCGAACGCGAAGAAGGATATGCTAGAACACCAGAATCTGCAGAAAACCAGATTTACTAAAGTCCAAAATATCCCGTGGCATATCCGAAACTCACCCGAGCCCTCGGGGCTCCAAACGAAACATGCACACAAGTCTAAAAACATCATACGAACTTGCTCGCGCGATCCAATCGCCAAAATAACACCTAGAACTATGAATTTAGCACCAAATCAAATGAAATTCTCACGAACACTTTAAAATTTCTAACTTCTCAACTGGACGTCCGAATCACGTCAAATCAATTATGTTTCTCACCAAATTTCACAAACAAGCCTTAAATATTATATTGGACCTATACCGGAATCCGGAACCAAAATACGGACCCGGTATCAATAAGGCCAAACATCAACCAATTCTTAAAAATAATTAATTTTCAGACTTTTAATTTTCATCAAAAATTCATAACTAGAGTTAGGGACCTCCGAATTCGATTTCGGGCATACGCCCATGTCCCATAATTCAATACGAACCCACCGTGACCGTCAAAATACGGATACAAGCCTGTTTACCAAAAATATTGACCAAAGTCAACTAAAATAAATTTTTAAGGCAAAAATTCTTATTTTCATCATTTTTTAACATAAAAGTTTTCCGAAAATACGCCGGACTGCTCACGCATATCGAGGAGGATAAAAATGAGATTTTAAGGCTTACGAGCGCAGATTCAAGTTCTAAAACATAAAATGACCTTTCGGGTCATCACACCGTAACAACAAAAGAAACTAGAAAAATAATACTAGCATCGAAGAGACAACAAATGAGTGGAAGGGCAATAGCATAATACTATGCAAAACAAAAGAAATAGTGTGAACACAACATAAAACTCTAGCAGTCCTAGTCAAAACTCTATCAGACTAACCGGTACAAAGAGGAAAAACACTCGACTACCCCTAGCCTACAACCCTAATGCTCGACCTCTACACCTTCCTATCAAGAGCCATGTCCTCAGAAATCTGAAGTCGCGCCATGTCCTGCTTGATCACTTCGCCACAATACTTCTTAGGCCGTCCTCTACCTCTTCTCGTACCTATCAAAGCCAACTGCTCACACGTCCTAACCGGGGCATCTAGGCTTCTCCTCCGCACGTGCCCGAACCATCTAAACCTCGCTTCCCGCATCTTGTCGTCCATGGGAGCAACGCCCATTCTCTCCTGAATATCTTCATTCATAATCTTATCGAGCCTAGTATGCCCGTACATCCATCTCAACATCCTCATTTCGGCTACCTTTATCTTCTGGATACGTAAATTCTTGACTGGCCAACACTTAGCCCCATACAACATGGCCAGTCTAACCATCGCTCTATAGAACTTACCTTTAAGTTTCGGTGGCACATTCTTGTCACACGGGACTCCGGACGCTAACCGCTATTTCATCCACTCCACCCTAATACGGTGCATGACATCCTTGTCGATCTCCCTGGATAATTGACCTTAGGTACTTGAAACTTTCTCTCTTGGGGATGACTTGTGAGTCGAGCCTCACTTCCACGTCCGCTTCCCCCGTCATGCTGCTGAACTTACACTCCATATATCCGTCTTAGTCCTACTCAACTTGAAATCTTTGGACTCCAGGGTCTGCCTCCATACCTCCAGACTCTCATTAACGTCGTCTCGCGTCTCATCAATCAGAATTGTATCATCAACGAACATACACCATGGCACCTCCCCTTGAATATGGTATGTTAGGGCGTCCATTGCCGGGGCAAATAAGCTAATAATCATTAATAGCTTAGATTAATTTAATTTTGTGATTCCAGTAATCAACATCTATAAACATCATAAGGATCGTTTGGTTTGAGGGATGAGAATCTTTATTCATGATATAGAATTTAGCAGTATTAAGTTATAATTGTTTGATTTTCGTTATATAACTTTTCATTACTAATATAATTTTTCATTACTAATATAATTTATGCATAACTAATGCAACATTTGATTTACAGTATTAAACTACATAATTTAAATGGATTTAGTATAAAAATCTATATACTAGTACTAGTACCATATACGAGTTATAATGTAACATGTACATTCAGAATGCATGAATTAGGGTAGCTAAAATGCCCTTGAAATAGGCAACTCAATACATAATACCCCAAGATCTCTGACGATTCAGCCGTCCACCAATCTCGAGAAGTCAACCAATCACCTACTACAGTAATAGTAGTATCCATTATCTCCCGTCAAACATATTCACAGTTATAGGCATTTGTATTTCACCACATCGCTTACATCATCAAAAGACCACTTCCCAACTTCCATGAGAGAACCTTCCCCTTACCCCACACGCATTTAGCTTATTCCTCAAGAATTCAGCTCTTGATCTGAACTGGTCAAGCTTGAATATAAAGAAATGTTTTTGCACATATAATTCTCTTGATCGTTGATTGGTTTATTTAGAATACCCAGATCGAGAAATCGTTAATATATGGCACTGCCAGTATTGAAGCTTGGGACACTTGCATTGAAAACACTGAGCAAACCCATTGCCAGTAGGCTTAAGCAACAAGCTGGCTTGCATCCCAAGTTCCGTAATTTCATCGTCAGCATCGCCCAGGTAATTGTCTCTTTGGTTGGATTTGTGATTACTTACATGAATTCGATTAGTTTTGATCTTGGTAGGGCTAATTAGAATGAAAGAGCATAAATTGTGCATTTCGTTTACTCCCTCCATCCCCAAAAGAATGATTGGCTTAGTATCTAATTTTTATGTGTACGAGGACTTGTTATTTGCGTAGAATTGGTGACCACATAGGCTATTAATTCTAATTCCTTAATTGGAGCTGTTAGTCCCTTTCAGCATAAAGGTTGTTCTTGTTGCTGGTTTATCACATTCCGAAAATCCAATTGAACTGATAGGGTAATAATTGTAGACTTGTAGTATAGATGAGTAAGTACTAAAAGTAGCAATTTCTTTTTAATTAAAAGTATTTAAGGAACGAATAAACTATCAATTGCAATGTATTGATCTGGGTTAATATAGCCTTGGGCTATCTTAGCTCAATAACTAGCTTTTAGGGTGTGATTCTTCCTGGGTTGTATCAATGGTATCAGAGCCACCCACCACCCTCCGTGCCCACCATGCCATGGATGGCGACGTTGGTATTGCAATGTTCCCCGAGGCTAGAAATGTCTAGCGCGCAGCCAGCCGTCGAGGACGACGGATGCGGAGCGTGGTGGTTTGTTATGGTCCATTGCAAGGTATGAGGCTTGACTCTTGAGTCCCACATTAGTATTGCATAGTAAAAGAAAAAAATTGTTTGACTCTCCGGGTACTAATAGTGTCTTGTGAAATGGTATGTGGTAGCGGAAAAGAGTGCTGCATGCCTAATGCTGTGTGGCTGAATTTAGACTTCATCAGTAAAGACCTTAATTGACGAGCATAAGTTTATGTCAGTAAAACAACTTGTGATTTTACAATTTTACTGTTACTGGTTAGTTTATGTCAGTAGAACAACTTGTGATTTTACAATTTTACTGTTCCTGGTTAGTTAGTTTACTCTTCCATCCAATCAATTAGTTGTGAGTTCAAAGAACATAAATAACGCAATTGCATAATTGCTCGTTATTCACATAGTTTGGTTAGCAACTCATAGCCTGTTGACTGGCTATAAGTGGATCTATAATCTAATGGGTTTTTACAGTCAGAAACAAAATGCAAAGAAACCATTGTCTAAAACGGGAATATAACAAACTACAACTTCTAGATATATTTGGCATGAGAAGATTGGTTATCATTTTGGAGAGTTCCGGTTTGTTTTTCAGCACTTGTAGTTTCTGAATCGAGGGACTAGTAAGATTCACTTAAGTGGTTGGATGATTCTAATAGGATACATCTTCTGATACATTTTAATAGCGGCTTGTGCTCCTGTTGAGGAATTGTTGTGCAATTTGACTAAATAGCTGGTCATTCCTTGTGTATCTTTACTTTTGATAAGTCGATGCCCTTCTTTTACTGTATAGTTCTTTTAATCCCTTAATAATGCAAGAAATGCTCTTGCATTCCTCTGTGCATTTCTCTTTATTATGTTTCAGTATATTCATTCAGCTATTTATGTCTTGTTTGTAGATGCAAATACCCATCTTTCAGAAACTTTATCCTTCATTATATGTTAATCTTTTTAAGTCTGTTAGCATTTCAAATTTCATCTTTTTTAACACATTCGCAAAACAGGCAAACCACCGGGTGACAACAACAATGCAAAGGCGGATATATGGTCATGCAACCAATGTAGAAATACGGCCTTTGGATGAGGAGAAAGCTGTTCAAGCTGCTGTTGACCTTCTGGGGGAGGCTTTTGTCTTCTCGGTATTGCTTATTTTCCTACTTGACTCTGTGATGACATGTCTAGATAGTTATCTAAGCTTCCCCCCTTTGTTAACTGTTACATATCATTATTGTTCAAATAAGAAGATACACTTTGCTAACTGCTCAAGGTTTGAAATCCTGTGCACTTAAAACATGATATGCGCTCTGACACGGTATGGAAGTAGTCGTGCTACTTTTGTTACCCAGATTAGCAGTGGCAACTTCTAACAATCCACATAGCCATTGTAATTCTTGGGAAATAAAGTTGCTTTGCATCAATATGCGCAATCATGCCTAATTCAATATGTCTACTGAATCCTTCTCTGTGCAACTGCCTTGCGATTTATTATTCCAAGAAGAGTTTGGAACACAAAGCTTAGATCTCTGAAGCTTATATACAGGAAATTGTCATATCTACCATCTCGAGATGCACAAACTAGCTTTAAAATTTGCTTGAAATCTGAAATTTCTACTTACAATCTCCAAACTTCAAAGAGTATTACTCTGACTGATCATGCATGAAGCAAGTAGCTCCTAAGCTAAGTGCTGTTAAACAACACATATTTGAATTGAGAATTGTTTATGACGATTTTTACATGATCTTCGAAACATGAGCCAAGATTTGCTTATTACAAAATGTACTTGCGTCAGTAGATAGAGTTCTTTTGGAGTAATTTATATGCGTGAAAATAACTATAGTTTCTCTCTTTTTTTTTTAGCTGAAATATTAAAGTTAACAGATTCCAAGTATAAGCTACCAACATTTTACATTGACTGCACTTTGTGGCTGTGCTAGAAAATCTTGAACCAACTTTGTGTAGTAAATTCCCTTTCAGAACTCTCAGATGAGTTAGATTTGAACTCTTGGGTTTTAGAGCTGATCTCCTTCTGTTTGAGTTATCCTTTGCTAAAAGGAAAAGGAAAGTACCAAGAGTTAGACTTGAACTCTTGGGCTCTAGTGTTTATTTGTTTCTCTTTGAGGTATCATTGGTTGCTAAGGATGGAGAAGACTGAGAAAGCTAGTCAGTAAATTTGAATAGGAAGTTAAAACTGTACATCTGCATCTGTACACAAAAATTAGCACACTTTTAAATTTGAATGACATGATTTTTATTCCGTGTATTTTACNTATATATATAATGCATGTGCGTGTGTGTGTGTGTATACATATATTAATATTATCTTCTGCTTTCACTGTGCTTTGCATCTAAAGTCTTGGTAGACTTTGTCTTTTTTTTTTTTCTTTTTTTTTTTGGGTGCTTTATGCCTTTGACAATACTGTTGGAAATAACCTTATGGACGATGATCAATAGGGCTGAAGTTTAGTTTATGAGATTGTTAGATGATTTTGTGGATTACTACTGATTAAAAGAAAAGATGATTTTGTGGAAAATTGAGGTCAAAGCTTGGACCTCTTTATCCCTACTCTTGGTGCTATCTCGAGTTTCAGATTGTTTTTGACCTTCTTCGCAAAACAATTACTATATTATTTTTTTGGATTTAGATGTTTTAGTGAAACAGTTCCATAATGAGGAAGAGCTAATACTTCGTCATGATCTTTTCATCTTGAAGATTGACACGAGGAGTCAACAGCTGTTAGACTATTGATAAAGTTGGGAGATTAAGAAAATCACAATATTTGCAGCTGCTTGCCAGTGTTGGCATTTAACTAGTTTTCAATGGTAATAGAGAATGAAAATAAAAGATTCATCGGTCTCTGTCAGCAGCTGGATAATTAGAGTAGCTATGCTGCGTTGGAGATGAAACACAACTTCCAGTATAGTTAATGGAACAGATTTCATTCCATGATTCGCTTCCTAAATTTCAGTTTTCAGTGCAACAATAATCTGTTCCATTAGTTTGCTCATTTCATGTGAGTGACACAGTAATAAATCATGAATAATGCACCACGGAGGGCATCCTTATATTTGGTTGAATCTGGTGGTCAGTTTGGAGCTATGTAATGGCGTTTGACTTTGCTATCTTGCATTTAGCACCTCTATGTTGCCTAATTTGTGATTTGGCAACTTTTCAAATCGCTGAACAGGTTGCAGTTGCTGCACTTTACTTTGAGGTGCAAAGAAGTTCTCGATCAGAAGCTAAAAAGGAGGAAGTTCGCAGGCAAGAGATGGAGGTATACTCTCAAATTCTTCGATTACTTGTTTGGTCTTGATAAACTCTTTTATTGCTTTATCAATGACCCAAGCCAAAACATTGAACCCCCCTGAAAGTATTTGGGCTGTTCCTTTAATGTTATCTCAGTAAACATCTACTTTAGCATCTCCTTTTCAAGTTTATGGTTACTGATTATTATTGTTAAGAGTATCGCGCATTGGTTGAGGAATAAGTTGTTATCTCCCTATGGTCTTTGGCAGTACTCACCTGATGAGCTAACTTTTGAGGTTGATTTAGACCAAAGTCCATTATTATTTCTTCATTTATTTATTTATTTTGATAAATTGGTTTATGGTTATTTATTTCTATCTCAATGTGATTTCATGGAATGGCACTAAAGCAAGCACCTTTTGGTTAACCAGTTGCTGATCTAGTCCCTGTGATTGCCAAATAACAGACCAATTTTGCTTCACATCCATCAATACTGTTGCTTATAGCCCTTAGAGCAGATAGGGGGATGCGCCATGTATCCCTCTAATTACATGCTGTTATTTCTATTACTAAACCTGTAAAGGTACCCTAATTTACCTGGCTCATTATGGCTCCTTGCTGCAGAACAGCAGAAGGAACTGTTGTAATTTGCTATTCTGAGTTTCTATAAATTCTGTCTAAAACAAGTCCTTTTCTTTTCTATTACATCAATAGTGGAGTTCAAAACCTCTGTTAGTTGTCATAATAAACTGAAATTCTATCATTCTATAACTTTGTTTGAGTTATATTTGAGGTCCTTGTGTGTTTCTTCAGCAAATGCGGGAACGAGATGAAGCATTGGCAAGAGAAATGGAGAGCCTAAAAAGCAAAATTCAAGAGCTTGAACAGCTAGCTAGGGGACGAGGACTTGCTGGAATGTTCAATCTCAGACCTTCTCACGTTGAAGAAGGCAAATCCCCAACACCAGCATGATCTATTGCTGAAGTTTTGGCAGCAAAACGATACAATTGTTTTTCTCATTCTTTGGATCCAAGAATCCTATCTGGCATTTGAAAAAGCATAACAAAACCTAAGCTTCTATCACTGAAAATGAAGTTGAATAGTGAATGTGATCAATGTTGTAAGGTTATGTAGTAAGAATTGCATGAAGCAGCTTGAATTTTTGTTGACACCTTTGGATTGTGCAATTTCCTACTGAATTTTACATTTACCTAACACCACAGGCTTAGCTTAGGAGACTGCTGATTATAGGGTGCAAAATTGTGAAATATTGGGAATTTTGGAGATTTTTTGTTCAGCTATGTTCTATAATACTGGTGAAATTATGTCCAGATGCTCCTTACATGCAAAAGAAGTTGTATGATCTTACTATATTAAAAGTACGAAGCATCTTAGTGAAATGTCGTTCGTTTTTTTTTACCTTTTAAAATATATTTTTATATTGTACAAAATAGTAATTTAAGTTATTTTTCCAATATTTAGGAATCTCAAATCAATTATATTTTGTATATTAAATTATTCCTTATTGGAACTAGATACGAATCCTAATATTTAAGACTTCAAAATCAATTAAAAGTTTAACTTATAAATATTATTACAACCAAATAAAAAACTATCAACATACTTTTACCACGTTTGTTTCTCATATCATTTCATTGATAAGAGATATAGTACCAACAAGGGTTGTGGTGGAGTGGTAAGTACTTTTTCATCCTTAACCAGAGGTCTCGGGTTCGAGTCCCTGGGTATGTAGTCGTCTTTGTTAGGGAGCGCTTTACCCCCCAATGTAGGACTTCCCGGCGCGAATCTGGATTTAGTCGGGGCCCAATGTGAGTACCGGACACCGGGTGGGAAACCAAAAGATAAGAGATATAATACAATATTATATTTCTAATTCTACAATATCCAGTATAATAATATAGAATTAATTAATGTTTACCTAGAATAAAACACTAGATTTTAAAACTAACGTTTTTTTTAACGTTTAATAACTTTTTTATGTTTCGATTAATATGATTTTTTTTATATGAAGATATTTTGAAATATAATAGACAATTACACTAATTATGTTACTCAATATTATAAATTTAACTTTCAACAGTTTTAAATGAACTATTATAATAATGGTGATTGTTAAGCATAAATCTATAATAAACACAAAATTTATCAATTATTCCGAGATGATTTGTGAGATCTTTTAATTTTTAACTAATGATACACTTAGCTGAATATAAGTGGGTTTCTTAACTACAAAAGGTAATTATGGTTTCTAAAAATTTAAAATTTAAATTTTATTTATGGTATATAGTGATTATTAATTATGTGAGATCTAAAAAAAAATACCATTTCCCTTTTTTTTCCTTCCAATTTTGTTTTTTGGAATATGTCTTGCATGGATGAATTTCCACCCATTTAGTTTTTTACAATCCGAAAAATAATTCTTATTGAATAAAAATATAGTTATAATTTTTATATGAGCTAATTTTAAGAATTTGAATAAGCAAAAAATAATTATGTATTTTAAATATTAAGAATAATAATTAAGTAATTCCATTAATTAATTAGGAAAAATCCATTTATATTCTTTTCCAAATTCATAATAAAAGTAAAATTATTTTCAGAGTTAAAAGGGTACCTAAATTTATTTCCATATAAGTAATGAAAACAAATCTGGAAATAGAGCAAAATCTATTACCGTATAATATTAAAATTTACCTTGGGTAAAATCCAAACTAGAAAAAACATGAATGAAACAACACAAGACAAAATGTAGTCAACATTCACGATCATCTTCATGAACTTACACTTTTATTTTATAACTCAAACATAATTTTTAAACAAATTAGTATTTATTAAGATAGAGTATACGTGCATCGCGCGTACCGTGAGACTAGTAAATTAAAAAGAACATGTATTTATCCTTTAATACAATCAGACGGGCTAACTAAATTAAGCATATTTATGTCATTTTTTATTCTTCTGGGCTAATCTCATAACATATATACACCTTAAATCCGCTTTGCAATATAAGATGATGATTCTTCAATTATATGAAAGTCACAGCAAATTGCATTTTATTATATCACCTCTCCTCTCTACCTGTCCCAAAACAAAAGATGAATGGATAGAGAAGAGAAAAAGAAAAGAAATAACACCATAAGAAAGAAGAGGAAAATAGTGAAAGAATTATAATTAATAGAGTCATACACTTTCACCAAGTCACAAATTCCAAACTTCTCAATCCCTTCTCTCATGTTTCCTCTTCCTTCTCTCTTCCGACTATTCACCTCCCCCATCTTGCCTCGTTTTCACGACAAACAATCAATGCACCGTAACTAAAATGTCCAATCCCCAGCCTGATAATCCCCTACCATTAACTGATCCACCAAACACACTATCCATGCAAATTGACAGCCCTAACTCCCCATCACCACCAAAATATTTTCTCCATACGTTTACTTCTAACTCACACTTCCCTGCGTACACATCAAACTACCAATCGATACATGATGACATAGACCTTACAGATGAACTATCTCGCTCAGACGACCTAGACACTTTCATTCCATTAACAAAAAATGACAAATTTTGTCTATACTCTCCTTGGAAAAGCTCAATTATCGTAAATGTGTTTGGAAAAATAGTGGGTCATCAATTACTAAAAACTAAACTTACTCAACTTTGGAAACCCACTGAGGAACTTCCCCTCATTGATCTGGGGTCAAATTTTTTCCTCATTAAATTTCTCTATGAGGAAAACATGTTCAAAGCTTTACACGACGGATCATGATTTATTTTAAATTATTTTCTCTCTGTCCGCCGTTGGGAGCCTAAATTGATAGCCTCAAGCGCACAACTAACTTACTCCCAACCGAATTCTATGACCTCGAAATACTGCAAAGAGTGGAAAACAAAATAGGGCAACTCTTAAAAGTTGATACTTGCACCTCAACAAACTACGAGGGGTAGGTATGCCCGTATTTGTATCGAAGTACCACTTGAGAAACCCCTCAAAACACATGTTCACATCGGTACCCACAAATAAGTCCTAATATACGAGAGTCTAAATCTATTATGCACGAGATCTGGTAGGTTTGGCCACGCTAGCTAGAACTGCCAGTTCACCCCAACTCCACCACTAAATTCCCTTCCCACCACATCCATGAACCCACCCATATCATCCTCTCATGTCCAACACACAGAGTCAGAATGGAAAATAATAACATTTTCGAAAAAATCAAGCAATAAAAAAATTGGAAACTCCATCGGACGTTCAACCTCTAAGGCTTCACGCGTCCCTGCTACTGCTTATCGCCCCATACGAACGACAACATGGAAGGCGGCAGCCACGTCACCACCCCAGGTAACGACAGGTAATGTCTCTAACCCTAATAATTGTCACACATGGGCTCGCAATCATATTCAACAGACCACTTACAATAGCCCAGATACAACTAACCTCTTTTCCTACTTAGAAGGTTTAGATACTACTCTTGATGTACCCACTAATGGGCCTACAAATCCAAACATAACTACCACCCTTTTATCGGACTCTCTAGAGGCCCAAAAAGTTAAAGCACAAGAACAAGGTCATGTAAGGACCTTCGATAAGCCTATTACCTCACCATTCATTAAACTAGGGACAACTCCACATGATATGGACCTCAATTCCCCAAGCCTAGACACCAAACCTAGTACTCCCACTACATCCCATGCACAAATGGATATAACAACGCCATCTTCAGTAACCCCTACAACTGGCCTAAGTGGAAACTTACCCAACTCTTTAGCTGACAACTCAACCAACAACTCTGACATTATATCCACACACTCAATCTCCTCTGAGTTCTCCGCCGTCTCTTTGCCTGCCACCCCCTCTCCTCTAATGACCAATGAGACTACACACAACACACACAAAGACTCTCCTACTCCAATGAAACATCATAATTCCTTTTCATGTGAAACCCTATTATTAACCTGTAACCCTACGCCAACCATTACACCCACAAACATAACTTCTTCTACCCCAACCCTAGATACAAACATAACCTCTACAACCGACTTACGCAAGTCATTACCTTCACATACTTTCCACTCAAACCCTTCTATATCAATATGCCCACAGTCAAGCACACATGTAATGACCCTGGTACACATCCATCAGGGAGAGAAATCACAACAACAATCAATATTTCCACTTCCTACGTCTAACAATGAATGGTCCGCCCCATCCAAATCCGATAACCCCTATCATCTACACCTACCAAAATCCTCCACTTGATTACCCACTCCAGTCATGGCTCGAGATGGGCCTACAGGGTTATGCCCTGATCTTCATACTGGAACCCAACAACCAAGAAGTTATACTTCTTGTTCAAAACCCAGTCCACTTAGCGGAGATAGTAACAGAGGGCATGCACTTGGGAATAGAGGCGTATTCTCAGAGTCAATGGTACTCAACACACATCCCTCTCATTCCGGACCAACACAGGCCCTCTGCCTCCACGCCAACAACATGGGCACAACCAGCATCTCCGCCAGTCCACACTTTCACTCAGACAATAGGGTTGCTCCCATTTTATCCACCACATCACACAAGGATGATTTATGCCCCGTGGTTCCAACACATGAGTTCTTTCACACCACCACAATATCCCATATCCCCGACCAACATCTAAGAACCACTGTCTCCCATGTACAGTCCACCCAACACTTCGCCTCCATCACCCAACGCACTAAGCGATCAGACTCGATTAGAACTAGCACAAATAATGGAGGAGATGAGGGAAACATGAACAAAGTTTGTATGGCTAAAGGGAATTTATCTCTAAAACCTCAAAGAGCAGTACACAAAAAAGTTCATTCTCAAATGCCCCCAGAACTAACATCATGCAGTTTAAATTTCAGGGCAACCACAAACCAGGAAGTGGGGAAATATGCCATGGTCATAATCCCAACACTTCGACAGACCAACTCAATGAACTCTCAAGTTCATTTGACACATCCTCATCCCTTGGGAGAGAGGAATAACTCCACTGACAACACAACTCACACACAATCCATAATGAATCTCATAGTATGGAACTGTAGAGGATCACAGAATGCGGAATTTAGGCGACAATTTCGCTCACTCTATAGGACTGTTCTAGTAGTTCTCTTGGAAACTCATATGCACGATCACAATGTTCTTAAGAATGATTTCAACTTCTCAAATATGTTCCAAGTATCTGCATAAGGTCTCTCCAGTGGTATAGTTATCATGTGGTATGGTGATCTAGGTACAATTGAGGATATCAG